GTCAATAACCCTACTTCCCACTATATATATAAACCTAGGACCTGGATAGCCCAGAAGTAATTTTTTCTAACTTTTAGTTTTGATTTACAAGAAATTGCAAAAATTCTACCTAGAAAGCGCTCATATACTCACCACCCAGCTTCCCCTATGATGAAAAGTCACATGACCACACTGCATCACCCAAAGCAGGCAATGGACATTAACACAACACAGGTAACTGGACTCAGGGCTTTAGATCTTGGCAGTTGTCAGAGGCATTCATTTTTGCATGTGAATAATTTTATGGCATCTCATCCCATCCATTACAAATTCATGAGACTCCCTACACCTCCCTCATCAAGACTGCAGTATGTTTCCAACAGTCTGCTGGTATTTAAACCAATTTGGTAAATAAGTCACAAAAAGAACAAGAGTAAAACTAAATGTCACTACAACAATATGACAGCAGGTTAGGTGATCGATGTGACTGCTGAATCTTTAGCGTGTTCCTAGGGACATTTTCTCATTTACTTTAGAAAAGCATTATTTTTGTGAACATCTGCCCAGTGAGCCCAGGAGTTTATTAAGTGCCTGCTGTTTAGCAAACGGTTTAGGCAGAACGGGCAGGCAGGCTGCAGCTCACATGCATCTCTTAGTGGATTATAGTGGCTGCCTCCAGGGGCTGAGGAGGACCCGGAGGCCACACCTGGGCTTAACGAGACAGAGCTACCGTGGCACAGAACTGCTCTGTCCCAGGGAGTTTCTGTGACTTTGTGAGCCACATGGTAGCCTGAAGACTGGGAATGGGCAGCAGTTTGGGCAGGGTCTCAGATCTGTGAGCTGTGGAGACCAGCAAAGGACAGCTGGCTGACTTGGGTGGGGGGGCAACCCAGGGTCAGAGAGAAACAAGAGTCTATTAGCTGCTCATTGGGCACATTGTAATCTAGGTTAGAAGCCAGACTTGGGCCTGACTGCCTGGGTTCAAATCTTACCAAAGCCTCTGAGTCTCTGTTCACCAAGCATCAAAGGAGCATGATAATAATGTGCTATGTCATACAGATTAAATGCGTAAACAATTACACAAAGCATTTTAAACAGCACCCAGTATGGAGCAAACACCATGCTGGTAAGTGCCATTGCTAATTTACTTTTTTACAGTCTATGGTACTGAAAACTTTTAAATGTGTTCTTTTGATCATCAGAAAAATGAATGCAGATTAATAAAGGAAACACTGGAGTTTCTCAACTGAACCACCGATCTGCAGAGGTGGAACACTGGGGAATCACCTGGGTTCCCAGAGTTGCTGGGCCTCACGAGAGGCTCTCAGAACCCGTCCTTTCCATCTGCTCTCACTGCCTTCCTCCTTCCTTCCCTCTCCCTTCATGATTCTCTCCTTTCCATCACTGTCTTCCAGCCCTGCCCGCACACTGGACCCCACTCCTTTGCTCACAACCTCCCTACCCCGAGTACTCCCAGCCCACTCTCCACTTTTCCACCCTAGCTCACTTCCCATTTCCTCTGCCAACCTCTTCTTGGCCCTGCAGTGCACAGAGTTCTCTCCAGCCTACACATTTGCAGCACCGACAGTACAGACCCAGCTTCTGTTGGAAGGTGTCCCCTAAAGGTCACGTGCTGGAAACACCATCCCCCACATAATGGGGCCCAGAAGAAGTGACTGTTCTTAGAATCGAATCAATGTTGTTAATACAGCAGTGGGTTTGTTATAAAAGTAAGTTTGGCCCTCACTCAATGAGGTCACTTGATCTTGAACTGCCTAGGTCTGCAGAACTGTGAGCTAAAGAACCTTCTGTTGTTTATAAACTACTCAGTCCATAGTATTCTATTACAGCAATATAAAACAGACTAAGACATACTTGATTCAACTGACACTGAGTCCCCTATGTCTCACAGAAACTCTTTCAGTATTATTTCTTAGTACCCTTTTATATGACTCATGAAATATGTGAAATTTCTGTGCGTAGTAAGTCAGGCAAAAAGGACCAATTTTTAATTGTGAGACTAATAGATCTTCTCTCTGCAAACTATATAGCAGGCTTCTCAAACATGGAACAGTATTTTAAGCTTCCTTGTTTCCCATGACTCAACCAGTGCTAGGCACACACTGGGGAAACATTAAGTCCAACTCGTTTCAGTTTCAGTGGAATGGCCTAAAGTTCCAGCATGTGTGAGGCTCCATCAATGACAGACAGTCCCGGGTGTACAATGGGTAGACCTACTGGTCATTCAGCTGAAGGACGGGGTGAACATACACCCATCCAACCAGTTTTTCTACTTCCAGGACTGTGTTTAATATGTTACATACAGTAGTCAATACTCTGTTATAAAATCAGCTTTGTGGCAGATGGTTTAGCCCACCTGTGGATAATTCAAGTGTTCTGCAGATGTCTAAAGCTGGTCAGGGGTAAGACAGACTATGATGTTTGAACAGTTAGGTGTATTAAGTACAGTTCTGACTTATGATATTTTCAATTTATGGTGGGCTTTTATTTTTAATATAGTGATACAGGGTCTCACTATGCAGTTCAAGCTGGCCTTGAGCTCACTTTGTAGCCCAGGCTGGTTTCGAACTTGCAGCAATCCTCTGCCTCAGCCTCCCAAACGCTGGGATTACAGGCATGTGCCACCATGCCCAGCTCTTATAGTGTGTTTATTGGGACATTATTCATAGCAAATTGAGGAACGTTTCTACTGTGCATGGCCTACAGCTCAGGAAAAGGTGCTTTTTACTAAGTGACCATCAGAACTGAACACAATGGCACAGAACTGGATGTTAGCAGTCTTCCTAGTTTCTATTTATTTGTTTAGCAAAAACCCAGCAGTTGCTTACTGTTACTGCATTAGCCAGGGTCTGGCACTTCCCCAGTCTCATTGAGCTAACCAACCACAGGGTAACTAACTGGGCCATGCTGCAGTTACCAACCTGCAGGTCTGCCATTTGGACCTGGCAGAGCTCAGACACAAAGTCTCAGCTCTTGCCACTTGTTGTGCCAGCTGTGTCTCTGGTACCAAGTGTCCACCTGAGAAGGGCATGAGTTAATGAATGACCCAAAGGCCTGTAGCTCTGGAGGATATAACAGAGCCATCCTGGACCACACAGAGGCATAAACCAATGTCACTGTCATTTTGTTAGGGGGTATCATTGCAATGCAAACTCCATATGGCTTAAGGGTTAGAAGCTTTCTGGAAGGAGCATCTTCTAATGCTCTAAGAGAGGGGTCCAACCTCTTTCTTCTTCCATGTAATCTGCAGGTCAGGTTAAATCACCAAGGCCTTTGCAACTGATGAATGACACGGGATTCCAAGTTGGAGGAGGCCGTGAAGTCACCCTCTCACCTTCCTCCCCTTCATGGGGCTTGGCTGCCACCCTAATGAAAATAGGTGCCTGTTGACTAAAACCCGATAAACCCCTTGAACATGCCAATCTTGTCAAGACCCAACCTGGACTGTATTAATCAGCAGCTGGAAATATGTGATGGCCCCAGACTAATTTCAAGACAATTTACATTAAAAAGACATAAGGCCAAGTTTGAGAGGCAGCTCAGAGCCCTCCTCTTTCCTAGCTCTCAGAGTCTCGCAACCACCATCAGTTCCGTTGCTGACCCAGGAGAGCTGGGCCGAGGGACTCTGGGACAGTAGAGCCAGCAGGGCGGCTACATAGTCCCAGCCATCGCTGTGTATCACAGAGGGACTGGTGGAAATGGTCCTTACTGAGTACCAGTCTATGAAAGATGCCAACCCCCATGAAAACCCCTCCAGAATGAGCTAAAGATGCTACATCCACCCTGTTCCCCAAATGCTCAAGTAATTCATCTTTAAGTGTAAAGACAGAAAAAATAATTTTAACAAAGCCTCACATTGCAGCAACAGCAAGGTGCTTTTAGTGTTTTCTTGGTTATTCTACTAAGAAACTGTTTCAGTTAATGGAGCTGTAATGCAACATTTCTACATCTTTGAGAGAGCCACTGAAAAGGCCTGGCAGCTGTAAGATCTGAATGGAGGCAGAGGCCAAGAGGGTACCCTTGCTAATTTTTAATCTTCTTGTTCTGTTTTAATTGGGGGTTCCTGCACGTTAACAGGAATGGTTGGGTCTCCTTGAAAAATCTTTCCCCCAAGAGGGTAATCCTGGCAGTGCCACCATCTGTACAGATCCATGCCCTGGAGAATACTGCCTGGTGACAGGCGGCTGTCCCTCAATGGTGGCACGGATAGTGGCTTGATCACTCTGCCTGGCCCAAGTGGTGAACCACGAGAGGATTCCTGGGCATCAGTGCCCAGGGCTTTGCTTTAGTGGCTGCCCAAGGAGCAGAGGGAGTGTCCTCCTGCTGTCCCCTGCCACCAAGCGGCTCCTGCCCCCCTTTCCCAGGAAGAGGCACTGAGCCAGAGGAAGCCTGCAGCATCCACAGCACACAGAGCATCCCAGGACAGCGAACTTGGTTTCCCTTTTCGTGAGTAAAAAGAGGCCCTGACTACCAGGGTTTCAACCAGGAAATGTGCAGGAGGACACATTCCAGAGCAACATTAAAAAAGTTTAAAAAGAAAAATATGAATAAAGAAAAAAATAAAAAATACACAGAGCCTACAAGGCGGCTGGTTAGCCATGGGGTTAGCATTAGGCCTAGAGAATCACCCAGTAACCCAGCATCCGGTGGATCCCAAGCCCCTGGGTAAAAGGTGTGGGCATTTCTCTTCGTGGAAATGGGATGTTTCCTTCTTTCACCATTTTCTCTTATTTCTTTACTTTTGGGTGGTCTGCCACCCAAAGTTGGACCCATCCATCACTTTGACATGCCCAGCACTTTCATTTTGCCAGAGTCAAAGAACCACCAATGTGGGGTCCAGAGAGCCCTTCCCCAGCCCATTCCCCACAGCCCTACTCTCCCAGGGTTCCGGGGTGCAGACTCTGCAGCACCACATGCCACACACAGCAAGTCACTAAACCACACTGCGTTCAAGGGGGAAGGGGGTTGAGGCTTGCAGGTGGGGCAGAGGGAGGACTTACTTGTACTTGTGCTGGTTCCAATCGTGTTGATGGTGGTGGGGACGGAGGAGGAGGAGTAGAGAGGCACGTGGCCATTCTCACACCCCAGGCTTTTGTCCTGCCAGTTGGAGGCGTTGATGCAAATCCCAGAATCCCGAGAGTTTTGCCACCCATTGAGCTTGTCATCGGAGTTCTGTCTTTGGTGATAGTAGTGTGACTGCCCGTAATCCACAGAGTCTGAGCGGCTTCGGTTCTGGCCACCGAAGCTGGTTGACGTGCGGTCCTCCAGATGATTCAGCCACATGGCTAGGGCGCTGCGATCTTCCAGCGAGGTGGCCGGGTGGATCAGCGCGTAGGACAGCAGCTGCCTGCTCTCCTCGATGTGCTGGTTGTGCTCGATGGAGTGTGCCAGGATCTTGGGCAGCAGCTTCATATACTCTACTTTTGCGTCGAGGTTTCCTGGCTTCAGCAAAGGCAGGTGAGTTAACAGCAGGGAAATCACTTTATCCTTGGATTCCTGTTGCCATTGGTTAATGATTCCTGGAAAGGAAAATACAGACAGCAAATGAGCAAACACACCTGTGATGACTCTGGACACCGCGCTCCGAGTTTAGTCCCCAGTCTGTGGACCCTGGCTACATTTTTTCAAAATGCCCTTTGCTCTAGATGGATTAACTGACTTCCAGATTTTAGGGGCTGAGGACCTCAATGAAGCATAAATCAAAAACTGTTAGATGTTTGGATCTTCATCCAATTCTCATTCACATCTTCAAAGAGGCTACAGCTACTTGAATCCAGCCAAACAAAGAGTTTTGAGTTCAACTTTGCCTCTCAGGAAAAATCTCACCCTCTCCTGATAGGCGAGGGGCCAGGACTAAGATCAGCCAGTGTGGTCCTGGGTCCACCCACCTTTCTTGGGGCAAGGCTGTCTCTCCAACCCAGACACTTGTTGAGAAGCCCTTAAAATACTGTCAAAGGGATTTGTATGGAACTGGTAAAAGTGTCCATGTGGAGAAAACTGTCAGGAAAGAAAGGACCCCACGCACTACCACCCTAGTCTCCACACAATAAGTCTGCAGCTTTCTTGTATGACTCGAAGTCAGAAAAAGCACCAGGGCCTCAAGGCTGAAATGAGCCATGGATCTGGGCCTCAGCGCCCGGATACCTCTCTGCATGTGCTATGTAGGCTCTTTCCCATTAGCGAGGATCTGTTTTTATTTTGGTAAAATGTGCACAATGATGATCATTTTGTGTATACAGCTCAGGGTCATTAAGTGCATTTACAGAGGTATGCATTCATCTGCAGAACTTTGTCACAACCCCAAGTAGAAACTCCATCCTCACTGGACGTGAATTCCCATCATCCCCTGTCCTCCCACCCACCCGGGACCTGCCTGAACCGCCATTATGGTTTCTGGCTTCATGAACTGACTACCGTAGGACCCATAGATGAGCGTACTCAGAGATCTGTCCCTGTGACTGCCTCACTTCACCAACCAAAATGGCCTCATCTGTGTGGACATCTGTTTGTCACACACTTACAAGGACCCCTTCTGCTCCTCTCACTCAAAACACAGAATGCACTTTGCTTATTGGCCTCTGAGAAGTGGCTTGTTGTGGAGCTTGACTGCTCTCCACTGAGCTGGGCAGGCTTTAAGCAGCATCTGCAGGGTTACTAGGGGTTCCCATGACGAAAAACTACAAATGTTCCTGGGAGCTGCTGGAAACATGAGGAAGTAGGGAGCCCAGTAGGGGATTTTCTGGTCAAGGAAGCACACTCTTGACTGAAAGAGATAGTGGAATCATGCCTCCTTCCTCTCTCTGTTTCTTGGCTTCCAGGCCCCAAAGCAGCAAGCCCAAATGACATGGATGGAAACCTCCCAAACAAGGGGCCAAAATAAACCTTTTCTCTTTTGAAGTTTGTCGTCTCTGGTATTTTGTTACAGTAATGGCATGCAGACTAACACAATCAACAAGGAAGGGATGGTGTCTGGTGAAGGAGCACAGGCTTTGAAGTCAGGCAACCTTGGGCACACATCCCAGAACTGCCACTCAGTTTGCGGTGGGGCTTTGGTAAATTACTTAACCTCTCAGAGCCTCAGCTGCCTCATCAGTCAAGAGTGGTCCGAGCAGCATTCACCTTTCCTAATGCTCTTAGATTAAAAGAGATCAAAGTAGAAAAAGGACCAAGTGGAAGCGATTCTGCAGACCCACATAAGAGTGACATGAGTGGGTTTGGATCTCAAATTTCAGAAATAACAGAGACCAGAGACAATCCAGGGGGAAGTCATTAAAAAAATCAAACTGGAAAAGAGATAGAGAGGAAGATGGTGAAAGGGAACAGGGCCATGGCGAGTACAACAATATGAAGGGGTGCCTGGCTGTCTAAAAGTGGGGTGTCACAGGGCTGCTAAAGAGCCAACACCGTGGGGCAGAAGTCACCAGGTAGACGGGGTGGGGGGGGGATGTCAGGACAGGATGTGGGGAAGAACTAGACTCAGAAGAGCTCGGGGGCCAGCTAGGCAGGCCCCAGAACCCATTTCCTGGTGGTTTGAGGCCTAGAGCCGGCGGACTGAAGGGCAGCACAGTTCAACAGCAACATGATGTGAGCCTCCCGTGGCATTTTAAGCTTTCTAGCAAACCACATCAAACAAGAGGAAACTTAACGCGGCCAACTTAACTTCAGCACTACACTGGACTTTACCCAATATTTCAAAATAGCATTTCAATGTAGAATCGATATAAAATTATCAGGGACACATTTTACCTTCTCAGATTTTGCATTATACCATTGAAACCCAGGGTGTGTTTCCCCCCTGGACTGGCCAGCTGCAGTGGGGGGGAGTCACCTGTGGAGCTGGTGACTCCCGAGCTGGCCAGCACAGACTGGAGACGTTCAGATGGGGAAGGCCGGCAGGGACAGATGACCTCAGAGGTCCCTCCCAACCCTGGACTCTATATTTAGCTAATTGCCACTTGACACAAGACAGCCCTCGTGTGTTCCACTAAGTATGGTCTCCTTTTTGAAAGTGGTGCTGGGGAGAAGTTGCAAAAAGGCCTAATGTCATCCATGTACTGTCAACATACACCAAGCACATTTTAACTGAGGAATAAGCTTAGGATGAAGATACAATTATTTGGGGAGCCTAAGGGTCTCAAGAGGCTCTGGAAACAAGCACAGGGCTGAGAGGATTGTAAGCTGGTGTCACTTATTGGAGGCGGCCAGGGGACCCCCTGAATATGCATATTTAAAAATGGTGTTTGGGAAGCACCTTCAGTAAAAATGCACGAGGCTAAAGGACTCTCTAGCTTTCTGCTAGGTCATTTCCTTGTTTGGATATTCTATCCCTCTGCAAAAGGTCAGCCTAAAAACAAAAACAAACTCAGGAACAAAAACAAAACTTGTAAACAGGACCCAGAGTGCAAACTAAACAGGTTATCTCTCGGAACTGCTCCTGCCAGGAATTAACCTGGGGTTTTGGAGGAGAAAAAAGCACAGCAAGAAGAAAGGGAAAAAAAAAAAAATCAGAGGTTTTGGGACTGTGGCACGGCCAGGAAGACAACCATGGGTTTGTTTGCCCCCACTGGGAGGTAGAAATGAGGCTGGTTCTGAGGTAACCACCCGGCTAGATCAAACCCTTCCTGCTACTGCCACAGCTGCCACCACCAAGAGCAAACCGACACTGAGTGTTTTCTATGTGCTGGGGACTCTTTGAAACCCTGTGCATTTAATAGGTCACTTAATCCTCCTGAGAAGCTTGTGTGGCAGGTCCTGGCACCAGCCTTACTCTACAGATGAGGGCAGAGAGGCCCAGGTGGGGCAGGTTGCTTACCCCTGGCCCCCTGGCTGGCAAGGTGGCATAATGAAAGTAGCAGATTAGCTTAGACACCTAATGGTTATCATGCTGATGGCTTAGCCATATGCTAAATGTATCAGTATTTATAATATATAATTATACTTAACTGTGTGCTAATACCTAGTAGCTGTAAATACAGTAATACAAGAATATTACAGAGTACCTGCAACTGCAGAGTTGTTGGCCAGCCATGGAATTGGAGAAAAAAGAAATTACAGAGACAATATCAATCTTGTCCAATCTAAAGCCTAAGAAATGTGTGCCCTCTTTTAATATTACCATAAAAATACAAATTTATTATTTATATACACAAACTATATACTTGATGCACAACCCAATTCAATTCTTCTTTACCAGAGCGGCCCAGGCAAGGTTGGACACCCACAATTAAATTATGCCTTTTGTGGCCCATAATTTCTTTGGTACTCCCCTCTTTTTTTGGCAGGGCAGTGCCTCACGCATGCTAGGTGCACGCTCTACCACTGAGCGCCATGCTCCCACCCCCACTCCCTTCCCTGGAGCACATGTTGGATTTCCTGGGTCATTTCCAGCACAGAGAGCATGCTGGGAATAGCAGTCTGGGGCTGCATCCCTCCCTGCTGGGCAAGGCAGCCGCCATGTTGACAGGGGACCCAACCAGTTCAACAATGACCAGCCAAGACCTCTTCCCTGCAGCCAGCACCAACAAACGAGCCCCATGAAGAGACCCCAATGGAAATCAATCTCCTGCCTGCAGGTAACAGCAGTCCCAGAGATGACGCTGAGAGACCCTGAGTCAGAATCACTTAAGAGTCCTGATCCACAGAAACTGCATGTGACTGTGGCCTTATTGCTTTCAGCTGCTAAGTTCTGAGTAATCTGTTATGCAGCCAAAGATAACAAAGACATTACCAAGGAAAAAGGAAGTCTTAGCTATCTAGCTTCGAGTAGTTCAGTCCTTCTGGTAAAGTATTTCCATCTGCAGATAGCCAGGAAGCTGACCTGCGGCCACCACACAGTCCCCTCATTCAGCCTTCCTGTCTCTATCACCCACTCCCCAGTGACCTTCAGACCTGCGTGAGAGAATGAGCTGACCACACGGACTTGAGCTTTTTCCAGATTCCACAAAGGAGATTTTTCAGGGCTACTTAATAAATGGCTTCTGATTATTATTTAGCTTCCTGTGGAGATCTGCCTACTGGCACAGCGTGTGCTGATTACGTGGACTTGCAGTATGTCTGGGCTCTCTTGACGATCGCTCCTTGTAGCAAATTAGCAGGCCGGTCTTCCCTGCTTTCTAGTTCACATGGAATCAACCTTTCGGGATGCCCGCCCCTGGGCACTGTGAAGTGTGAGCACTTCTTCCAAAGGGAAGACAGATTCTCCATGCGAGGACTTGGGACATAACAGCCTGCTCCTGCCACATACCCACTGGTGCCTTTATTGTATTCACTCTACTTCCAGACAGCGGAAATTTCTCTTCTTTAGAGAAGACCTAGGAATCCTTCTGTTTTTCAAACAGATCACTTCTGAGATGCAATCTTACCATCACACACCCCAATATCATCTCTTCAGGAAGCAGCATGCAAAACTGTTGATGACGTCACCTTACCCCTATGACATCTGTGTAGTAGTTTACCATTGCTTGGGATGTGAGGCAGAGATGTACAGATTTGTTATTTAATGCGGGCAAAAGTTAAAGAT